CCTGAGAGTGGCAGGTTTAACCCACTGAAGCTTTGAAGACCTTGTGATTTTCATGTCAGCAAAAGCTCTGTGTTTTACATGTCAGTCTGCTACTTCCAATTCTAAAATATGTTGAAAGCAACTAAATGAAAACATGTAGTAAAAGAGGTTCTACTGGAATATGTCTAGCCTACAGAGAATCAGCACATAGTGAAGCCTGCAGACCCACTCTACCAAGGATGGAGCAGTACTTCCTAGGGGATACTCACACACCCTGGGAGATACCTATTGGAGAGAGGGACATCTAGTAGAGTGTCTTCATCAGCTGCTTATCACTCAATATGATGATCCACCATCCCATTAGAGGGAAGAGCATCTCCTAAACCAGTCCTCTATCTGATGACATCTGGATTATTGTTACAAGGCGCAAACATTATGCGCGTCCGGTGAGTACACTTACCTTATCAATTTGCACTGATACCGGGTCCAGTTTCACCATCACACAAGAGACAACTTATCACTATCACCAATCTTTTTGGAACTTTTTAATGATATTTTATTTATTTGGTTTATAATATATATCAGCGCTGCACTTATTTATTTATTATTGTCTAAGGTGTTCTATTGGTTACCTTTTTGTTGCCTTTATTATTTGGCGCTCACAATTTTATCTACAGTCAGATCCATAAATATTGGGACATCAACACAATTCTAACATTTTTGGCTCTATACACCACCACAATGGATTTGAAATGAAATGAACAAGATGTGCTTTAACTGCAGACTGTCAGCTTTAATTTGAGGGTATTTACATCCAAATCAGGTGAACGGTATAGGAATTACAACAGGTTGCATATGTGCCTCCCACTTGTTAAGGGACCAAAAGTAATGGGACAATTGGCTTCTCAGCTGTTCCATGGCCAGGTGTGTGTTATTCCCTCATAATCCCTATTACAATGAGCAGATAAAAGGTCCAGAGTTCATTTCAAGTGTGCTATTTGCATTTGGAATCTGTTGCTGTCAACTCTCAAGATGAGATCCAAAGAGCTGTCACTATCAGTGAAGCAAGCCATCATTAGGCTGAAAAAACAAAACAAACCCATCAGAGAGATAGCAAAAACATTAGGCGTGGCCAAAACAACTGTTTGGAACATTCTTAAAAAGAAGGAACGCATCGGTGAGCTCAGCAACACCAAAAGACCCGGAAGACCACGGAAAAAAACTGTGGTGGATGACCGAAGAATTCTTTCCCTGGTGAAGAAAACACCCTTCACAACAGTTGGCCAGATCAAGAACACTCTCCAGGAGGTAGGTGTATGTGTGTCAAAGTCACCAATCGAGTGAATACAGAGGGTTCACCACAAGATGTAAACCATCGTTGAGCCTCAAAAACAGGAAGGCCAGATTAGAGTTTGCCAAACAACATCTAAAAAAAGCCTTCACAGTTCTGGAACATCCTATGGACAGATGAGACCAAGATCAACTTGTACCAGAGTGATGGGAAGAGAAGAGTATGGAGAAGGAAAGGAACTGCTCATGATCCTAAGCATACCACCTCATCAGTGAAGCATGGTGGTGGTAGTGTCATGGCGTGGGCATGTATGGCTGCCAATGGAATTGGTTCTCTTGTATTTATTGATGATGTGACAGCTGACAAAAGCAGCAGGATGAATTCTGAAGTGTTTCGGGCAATATTATCTGCTCCTATTCAGCCAAATGCTTCACAACTCATTGGCCGCTGCTTCACAGTGTAGATGGACAATGACCCAAAGCATACTGCAAAAGCAACCAAAGAGTTTTTTAAGGGAAAGAAGTGGAATTTTATGCAATGGTCAAGTCAATCACCTGACCTGAATCCGATTGAGCATGCATTTCACTTGCTGAAGACAAAACTGAAGGGAAAATGCCCCAAGAACAAGCAGGAACTGAAGACAGTTGCAGTAGAGGCCTGGCAGAGCATCACCAGGGATGAAACCCAGCGTCTGGTGATGTCTATGCGTTCCACACTTCAGGCTGTAATTGACTGCAAAGGATTTGCAACCAAGTATTAAAAAGTGAAAGTTTGATTTATGATTATTATTCTGTCCCATTACTTTTGGTCCCTTAACAAGTGGGAGGCACATATGCAAACTATTGTAATTCCTACACCGTTCACCTGATTTGGATGTAAATACCCTCAATTGAAAGCTGACAGTCTGCAGTTAAAGCACATCTTGTTCGTTTCATTTCAAATCCATTGTGGTGGTGTATAGAGCCAAAAATGTTACAATTGTGTCCATGTCCCAATACTTATGGACCTGACTGTATATACACCTATCAGTGCTGCCTATCAGTGCACATCAGTGAAGGAGAAAAATTACCTGTTTGCAAAATGTTATAATAGAAACAAAGAAAAACTTTTTAACGACCTCCCGCCTGCCATATAGTAATATGACGGACGCAAGGTGTTTCTCTCGTTCTGGGAGGACGTCTAATGATTCTAACCGCGCATGCGCGGCTCAGGGAGCACGCAGCGATCTGCGGTAAGCTTTGTTCCTCGGACACAGCGGATCACCGATCACGGAAAGAGCCAAAGCATAACGGCTCGGTCATGTGATCAGCTGTGTCCAATCACAGCTGATCACATGTAAACAGGGAAATGCCGGTTATCGGCATTTCTCTCTTCTCAAGGTGTCACGCTGACATATTTTCAAAATCAATGTCAAAATTTCACAATTTCTGCCAGGGTATGCAAACTCTTGAGCAGAACTCTATAGTGAAAATACAGTCCCTTAAACTTCCTTTTTCCACAGGCACAAGATTACGAATGCTCCTCACTACTTACAGGGAAGATGTCTATTTGCATGTGCTGGCCAAGCGACATTAAAACACCATTTTTTCATCCCACAACAAAAGACATATCTTCCTCTTTTTTAAATAGCACTGCATGGCATAGGCCATGTCCACTTATGTCACCCAATTCTGATTCCAACTGTGATGCAGTACCGTATTTGATTATTCCACTTTCTTACTTGCAAAGAGCAGGTGCCATGGAAGGATCTGCTATATAAATCCTGTATAATATAATATTACATTGAAATTTACACTCACTGACCACTTTATTAGGTACACTTTCCTAGTTCCAAGAAAATATCCCCCACACCATTACACCACCAGCCTGAACTGTTGATACAAGGCAGAATGGATCCATGCTTTCATGTTTACGCCAAATTTTGACCCTACCATCTGAATGTCGCAGCAACCAGCCTGCCCATTCTCCTCTAACATTGACAAGGCATTTTTGTACACAGCTTCCACTCACTGGATATTTTCTCTGTTTTGAGGTAGACTGATGGCTCTAACTACAGTGGGGATCGAAAGTTTGGGCACCCCAGCTAAAAATTTGTATTAATGTACATAAAGAAGCCAAGGAAAGATGGAAAAATCTCCAAAAGGCATCAAATTACAGATTAGACATTCTTATAATATGTCAACAAAAGTTAGATTTTATTTCCATCATTTACACTTTCAAAATAACAGAAAACAAAAAAATGGTGTCTGCAAAAGTTTGGGCACCCTGCAGAATTTATAGCATGCACTGCCCTCTTTACCAAGCTGAGACCTGCCAGTGTCATGGATTGTTCTCAATCATCGTGGGAAGACCAGGTGATGGCAATCTCAAAGGTTTTAAATGCCCAGACTCATCTGACCTTGCCCCAACAATCAGCACCATGGGTTCTTCTAAGCAGTTGTCTAGAAAACTGAAACTGAAAATACCCGACGCTCACAAAGCTGGAGAAGGCTATAAGAAGATAGCAAAGCGTTTTCAGATGACAATATCCTCTGTTCGGAATGTAATTAAGAAATGGCAGTCATCAGGAACAGTGGAAGTTAAAGCAAGATCTGGAAGACCAAGAAAAATATCAGACAGAACAGCTTGCAGGATTGTGAGAAAAACAATTCAAAACCCAGTCAGGGCTCTGGGGGTGTGACCAGGGTATGTGACTGACGCAGGGAAACGCAGGCTCCATAAAAGTTAAACAATATAATTTATTAAAGACTAACAATACAAACATAAACGCAGTGCAATACTAAATCATAACACAGTGCAAACGAACCAAACCACCCACAGATAACAGTACATACAATGCAAGCGTCGTCAGGCAGGCCAGGTCAATAACAATCGGGCAGGTAGGTACAGGGGGTCAGGCAGAGAATGGTCGGGGTCACAAGCCAGGGATGAAACAGGAGAAGCCAGCAGAGGTCCGGATCAGGCAGGGTCAGCAACGAATCAGTCAGACAGGAACAGGAACAGGGATGCAGGAACAAGATACAGGGCCCAGGAAAAACACACACCAAGGCCGAGACTGTAGGTCTGGCCATCCCTTAAATACACCTGCATGATCAACTGATTGCCGGGAGCACCCGCTGGCCAGCCCTGGTACTGCAGCCCACAAGGCAGGTGGGTCCCACCATTACTGGCAAGTCCATTCCTGACAGTACCCCTCCCTCAAGGAGGGGCCTCAGGACGCTCCAAACAGTCCTAGCTGGGCAAAATGTTCCACCGCCCGGGTCTGGTAACTGGCGGGATATCAAAGACTGGCACATCGGGCAGGACTCCTGGCAGAGGCACACCGGGCCACCAGGCGGAGCGACAGGCACCGGGCCCCCAGGAGGGGCGGCAGGCGCCGGGCCCCCAGGAGGGGCGGCAGGCGCCGGGCCCCCAGGAGGGGGGCGGCAGGCACCGGGCCCCCAGGCGGAGCGGCGGGCACCGGGTCATCAGGCACGACAACGGGCATCGGGTCACCAGGCATCAGGTCATTTGGCTCGACAGCGGGCACCGCGTCATCTGGCAAGGCAGTGGGCACCGAGTCACCAGGCACGACAGTGGGCTCTGAGTCAATTGGCACAACAGCGGGCACCGGGTCATCAGGTACCGGATCGTCTGGATCGACAGCGGGCACCGGGTCATCTGGCGTTGGATCGTCTGGCTCAACAGCGGGCATCGGGTCACCAGGCATGACAGCGGGCACTGGGTCACCAGGCATCAGGTCATTTGGCTCGCCAGCGGGCTCCACGTCATCTGGCAAGGCAGTGGGCACCGAGTCACCAGGCACGAGAGTGGGGTCCGAGTCAACTGGCATGACCGCGGGCACTGGGTCAGACATTGGATCGTCTGGCCCGACAGTGGGCTCCGAGTCACCAGGCATGACCGCGGGCACTGGGTCAGACATTGGATCGTCTGGCTCGACAGCGGGCACTGGGTCATCAGGCATTGGATCGTCTGGCTCGACGGCGGGCATCGGGTCACCAGGCATCACAGTGGGCACCGGGTCAACTGGCAGAACAGCGGGCATCGAGTCGTCTGGCAAGGCTGCGGGCACCCAGTCGTCTGGCAAGGCTGCGGGCACCAGTCGTCTGGCAAGGCTGCGGGCACCGAGTCGTCTGGCAAGGCTGCGGGCACAGAGTCGTCTGGCAAGGCTGCGGGCACAGAGTCGTCTGGCAAGGCTGCGGGCACAGAGTCGTCTGGCAAGGCTGCGGGCACAGAGTCGTCTGGCAAGGCTGCGGGCACAGAGTCGTCTGGCAAGGCTGCGGGCACAGAGTCGTCTGGCTTTTTAGGATCATCAGGCTGGATCAGTTCATCAGGCTGGGTAGAAACATCAGGCTGGCCGAATAGAGGCATCAGGCCGAGAGGCATCAGGCCGGAGGCATCAGGCTGAGTGGAGGCATCAGGCTGAATAGAGGCATCAGGCTGAGTGGAGGCATCAGGCTGAGTGGAGGCATCAGGCTGAATGGAGGCATCAGGCTGAGTAGAGGCATCAGGCTGAATTGTGGGCACCGAGGCACCAGGCTGCACCATGGAAGGCAGGTTCTCAGATGGGAGGCTGACCGGTTTGGATACTGGCAGGATGGTACTGGTTGGAAAGAATTTCCGCTTTTTTCTGGTTTTAACTACTGGGGCACTGCAAGTAAAACGCAGGTCTGCAAACGAATGGAGCAGCTGAGGACAGAGAAAAGCTGGAAGATGGAACAGAGGAGGGAGCAGTTGCTACAGAGGACTTCTTTACAGGGTTAAAGAAAGGATAGGCGCAGCGAGTGGGAGCAGAGGACTGGTATGTGGTAGATAGAGTATACTGGGCAGTCACTGGGGGTGCTGTCAGGGATGCAGGAAGAGTGCCTTGAGTGGAGGAATGATGTTGTAAGCTGACTGAGGCTGGGTGCAACAAGTCTGACCATGTCTGCAGTATGGGTTGAACGAAGCTCAGGTTACACAAAGCCTGTCTGGTCAATGACTGCACTGCGTTTATACAATCTCTTAGTATCTGTGGTGAACATGCAGAGTAACGCTCCAGAAAGTAATCCACATCATCCTCTAATAACCATACCAGGGACTCTACCTGGTCGGCACTAAATGGCGGCAAAAATTCATCCCTGCATTCGGGGGTACCAGATGAAACCAACTCAGCACAAACCTGAATCAATGGCTGCACCTCAGAGAATTCTGTGCCCTGATCTACTAGAACATGAGCGATCCGTATACATTCTAGTAGTTGATCCCAGGGATACTCCTTCAGAGTTTGATAAGCATATTCTCTGTCATCAAACACTAGCAGAGATAAATACACAACCTCATCAAGATCCATCCTTCCCAGCAACAAGCCAAGATGGCTTCCCTGTGCAGCCACTTCTGGTCAGGATTGGCCTTGGTGTAATGTCAGGGGCTCCGGGGTGTGACCAGAGGTATGTGACTGATGCAGGGAAACGCAGGCTTCAGATAAGTTAAAAAATATAATTTATTAAAGACTAACAATACAAACATAAAAGCAGTGCAATACTAAAACATAACAGTGCAAACGAACCAAACCAAACCACCCACAGATAACAGTACATACAATGCAAGCGTCGTTAGGCAGGCCGGGTCAATAACAATCGGGCAGGTAGGTACAGGGCGTCAGGCAGAGAATGGTCGGGGTCACAAGCCAGGGATGAAACAGGAGAGAGCAGAGGTCCGAATCAGGCAGGGTCAGCATCGAATCAGTCAGCAACGAGATACAGGGCCCAGGAACAAGATACAGGGCCCAGGAAAAACACACACCAAGGCCGAGACTACAGGTCTGGCCATCCCTTAAATACACCTGCATGATCAACTGATTGCTGGGAGCACCCACTGGCCAGCCCTGGTACTGCAGCCCACAAGGCAGGTGGGTCCCACCATTACTGGCAAGTCCATTCCTGACACCCACATTTGACTGCACGATCCCTCCAGAAAGATCTGGCAGACACTGGAGTTGTGGTACACTATTCCACTATAAAGAGAAACTTGTACAAATATGGTCTTCATGGAAGGGTCATCAGAAGAAAACCTCTTCTACGTCCTCACCACAAAAATCATCGTTTGAACTTTGCAAATGTACATATAGACAAGCCTGATGCATTTTGGAAACAAGTTCTGTAGACCGATGAGGTTAAAATTGAACTTTTTGGCCGGAATGAGCAAAGGTACGTTTGGAGAAGGGGCACAGAATTTAAGTGAAAAGAACCTCTGTCCAACTGTTAAGCATGGGGTTGGATCAATCATGCTTTGGGGTTGTGTTGCAGCCAGTGGCACAGGGAGCATCTCACGAGTAGAAGGAAAAATGGATTCAATAAAATTTCAGCAAATTTTGGATGGTAACTTGGTGCCATCTGTGAAAAAGCTGAAGTTAAAAAGAGGATGGCTTCTACAAATGGATAATGGTCCTAAACACACCTCAAAATCCACGGGGGATTACATCAAGAGGCGTAAACTGAAGGTTTTGCCATGGCCTTCACAATCTCCTGACCTCAACATAATTGAAAATCTATGGATAGACCTTAAAAGAGCAGTGCGTGACAGACAGCCCAGAAATCTCAAAGAACTGGAAGACTTTTGTAAGGAAGAATGGGCAAAGATACCTCAAACAAGAACTGAAAGACTCTTGGCTGGCTACAAAAAGCGTTTACAAGCTGTGATACTTGCCAAAGGGGGCAGTACAAGATATTAACTCTGCAGGATGCCCAAACTTTTGCAGACGCCATTTTTTTGTTTTCTGTTATTTTGAAAGTGTAAATGATGGAAATAAAATCTAACTTTTGTTGACATATTATAAGAATGTCTAATCTGTAATTTGATGCCTTTTGGAGATTTTTCCATCTTTCCTTGGCTTCTTTATGCACATTAATACAAATTTTTAGCTGGGGTGCCCAAACTTTCGATCCCCACTGTATATCCAGACAGTGAAGTGCTTTGTGGCAGGGCACAACAAAGGAAGGATTGTGTCTTCACTGAGGAGGAAGGCGGACACCACCTTAGGAAGAAAGGAGGGTCTTGGGTGCAAGACTACTTTGTCCTCGGGAAGATTTATGAATGGATCCTTACAAGAGGAAGCTGCTAACTCTGACAGACATGATAGCTATCAAGAAACCTACCTTGCAGGAATAATCATGCAAAGGGAGTCCCCTGACGGGTTTAAAAAGGTAGCTTTTGTAGGGTAGAGATAACCAAATTGAGGTCCCAAGGATCATAGGGTGCTGTAAGGGTGGTTGGATCAAAGAAACAACTTTAATATAGGTTGAAACCTGTCCCTTAGGAATACTTAAGGCCCAGATCTGGTCAAGTAGTGATTGTAGGAAGGCCAGAATGCAAGACACAGATCTTTCTGGAAGTGGCTTTCCTTGCGTTTAGCAATCTAAGTGTAGCACCCTCCTAGTTGGATGCTAGGTTTTGTATAGTTAGATTAAGCATAGCAGTGTTTCTTCGGTTAACAGAAAGACTGTTTGGAAAATCTAATTGGGCTCTCTGCCTAACAGAGTGCTGTGATGGACTAGTTAGGTCTGCTCCTGATGCTCTGGTGCCGTTTGAGTTCTGCCTGCCTTCAGGAAGCTATGAGAGCCATGCAGGACATGGGTGAGGCTAGGCAGGTGAACAGCATGAATATGGATACAGCCCTGGCTCATTGCAGGGGAGGGTGACCCCTTTGCATGTTGGGCACGGTATATGTGAGCACGTGGGTTTGGTTTCTTTCCTGGAAGAGGATTGAACCAAGCCAGGCAGGAAGCAGGAATGCCTCGCCTGGCACTGGCTGCCATATGGCCTCAGGTGGGTCGACCTGAGGGCCTAAAGTTAGAGAGAGTGACCCTGGTTCCACAGTAAGCTGACTGAGGGGAGCTGTCTGCCAAAACTCTGTCTGGTATCACAGGAGGGTTTCGCTTGGAAGATTGGAAGGAGGCAACCATTCTGTCCTTGGGCCTTGTGAGTACAGACATTGAGGAATTTGGGGGCTCTGCATGCTTGTTACCTCCCTGGTGCTTGATAGTCAAGAGTGGGTCTGGAAATGAAAGGGAACACTGGCTAGTGTTCTGAAGAGCTTGTCCAACTGTTGCCACTGCAAAGGACTTTGCTCAGCTACGTTACCTTTGGGCTGTTGCAGCCTGTCGTAACTGGAATATACCTGAGGAGCTCAACCCTGTAACTACTACTAGTACACTGAAAGGGGACTTTGCTCACTCCTAAACTACTTGCTGCTACAAAGTAAAGGGAAGTTTGTTATCCGCTTTCAGATAGGACTTCAACAGTGAGCATGAAGAGATCAGCTAGATGTCCTCAGTGTGAAAAGTTCTCATTTTTGGTGTATCCTACTACATTTCCCATCCCTATCCACAGGTATACAATAAACCTCCAAAAAAAACAAACTCCTCTAGACTGGTCACTAAAGACAATGAGCAAAAGTGTGTGGGTACCTGGCTGTGAATACCTTGTGCCTGGCTGCGGAACGAAGAAGGGGGAAACCTGGGCAAAAATACAAGCGACCCTTACGAGGGTGGCGCTACATAAGAATGACACCCTTTGTCCTAAGGCTTTGGAATCAGTAGACATGCCATTAACCACTTGCCGTCCGGGCTGCTGTATATAAACGGTGGCACTCCAGGGGCAGGTTGCTGTTTATAAATGGCACCCGCCAATATGGAATGTGCGCGCTCCCTGGGAGCGCGCAGCGCTGCGATCCGGTGCCCATTGTGTCCTCCGGAACACTGATCATCGTACGGGACCTCTGTGCCAGGTCCCGATCATGTGATCACTGATTTTCCAGTCAGTGATCACATGCAGAGTAGTAAGAAAGATGTCACTTTGACACACTGACATCATTGCTTACTACGTGTGAAATCTGTGAATGATCACAGAGGTCACATGGTACATGGCTATTCACAACAGCCTTGTACCATGTGACAAGCTGTGACCAATCACAGCTCACACAGTAGTTCTCAATGGCTGCAAGAATGCAGTCAGAGAGAAGGAGAAATGATTGCTTTTACAGCCTTTATGGGTATAAAAGCAATCAGTGTAAAAAAAAAAAAAAAAAAAAAAAAAAAAAAAAAATCATCACCACAAGTAGTGCAGTGACATCGTGGTGACACTGTACTGCTAGGGTGACAGTATGTGGGAAGAAAAAAAACAAAATATAAAAAAATAAAAATACATTTTTTTTTTAAATTATAATTTTTGGGTATAAACTAATTTGGGTTATTTTTTATTTTACTAAAAAGATAACTGAAAAAATTTTGGCCAAGATTTGATGAAATATTATT